CCAAAAACATCTATAAAGAAATCCCTCAAAAGGTTTGGGTAACAAAGCGTCTGGGAATGTATTTGGCCTATGTTCAACAGGACATTATATGTTTTCTTGTATAAATCATGTCCTGGAAAACGGAATGTCTTTATTTAAAATAAAAACTCCACCATCCAGCACCATAAAGGTAGTTCCATGAAAAACATTTTAAACCTCTTTTATACGTGTAGTTTTAAAACATATTTTTATGCTTCATATTACACTAGGTTTACTGGGGCTTATTTTATATGCTCTTCTAGATTTTCTTCAAAAAAACAAAACAAAACAAAACACTGTAAGGAAACTTTCCATTCTCAACTTATAGACTTTTTAAAAAGCAGTCACCTTCTTTAAAAAAAAATTTTTTTTAAACGGGCCGAAAACCTTAACCTCACCAAAGAAGATATACAGATGGCAAATACGCACATGTAAGATGTTCCACATCATATGTCATCAGGGAACTGCAAATTAAAACAAGCTATCACTACACACCTATTAGAATGGTGCACTGGAGCTCCGGCACCAGCAAATGCTGGTGGGGATGAGCAACAGGGACTCTCATACATTGCTGGCAGGGATACAAAATGGGACAGCCACTTTGGAAGGCAGTTTGGCACTTTCTTACAAAACTACCATACGTTCCAGCAATTGCACTCCTTGGTATTTACACCAAGGAGTTGAAAACTTATGTCCACACAAAAACCTGCACATAGATGTTTACAGGAGCTTTACTCATAACTGCCAAAACCTGGAAGCAGCCAAGAAGTCCTTCAGCAGATGAATGGATAAATAAACTGTGGTCCATCCAGATAATGGAATGTTATTCAGCACTACAAAGAAATGAGCTAACAACCTATGAAAAAGACACGGTGGAACCCTGAATGCGTATTACAAAGGGAAAGAAGCTACTCTGAAAAAGCTCCATCCTGTCTGATTCCAACTCTGTGATGTTTTGGAAAAGGCAAAACTATGGAGACAGTAAAAAGATCAGTAGTTTGCAGAGGTGACGGTGGAGGGGGGGTGAGGAAAAGATGAAGGGACACAGAGGATTTTTAGGGCAGTGAAAATACTCTGCATGATACTATAATTTTGTAATTCTTTATAATCTGCCCAAACCCACAGAATATATAACACCAAGAGTAAACCCTAAGGTAAACTGTGGACTTTGCATGATGATGATGTATCACTGTAGGTTCATCCTTGGTTAAAAATTAAAAAAAAAAGGAAAAAAAAGTACCATTCTGGTAAGTGATGTTAATAAAGGGGGGAGGGGTTATATAGGAAATGTCTATACCTCCCCCTCTCAACTTTGTCACACACCTAAAACTGCTCTGCAAAGTCTTAAAAAACTAACAACAAAAACAAAACCAAAAATCAGTTATGGGATCCTTCAAGGTGCAGCTCTATACTGGCAGACATACCAAAAGATACTCCCAATGCTAGAATCGAAATTTGTATTGTTTATGAAAGCTTATTTCTGTGTATCATAAAATAATTGTTATCAAAATGAGAACTATTTTGTGCTATTTCCAATTTTATCCAATCATTTTCATTTAGGCAGGAATTTATCTCAAGGACGATGATGGTAGAGAACAAGAAGTGAAAGAAGTAAAATGTCAAGTCTGGCCATAAATACAGCAAGATGACACATCTTTTAATGGTTCAGCTGTAGTCTAGGTTTCCACAGGTGTGTATTTTCCCATGTATGACAATTCCACAGAAATTCTGAACTCTGATCAACTCAAAACAGTGAAAGAAAGACTCTTCCTATCTGCTTCACAGAGGACTAGCAACTTAAGTTTGAAAAATCAGTAATACAGGATTGGCGTGTGAAGTGAGTCTTTGGAACTATACCGAACAAAAATGCTTTCAGGCAAAATGATAATAACTTCTAGTAGGAAGGAAAGCAATATTTCTTCTACCAGACACATTATCTATTAAAATATAGCACCTATAGGACCTTAGGGTTTCCTTTTCTTCTTATTTTACGGGGTAAGGGGGTCATGCGGGGAAGGGAGACAGAAGTTCTTATATTTTAGGGGTGAAATCTTCCTACTAGTTTAGGGCTCTACTCAAGTTCCTTTCCTCCACGGAATGCCCCTGACACTTAAGGAGATTCTTGGAGAGGTAAATATGCATGTCTCGTGACCGCTGCCATGTGCCACTAACTTATGCTGTGAACCTATGCTGGATCTACGCCATGTGTTACTTCCTATCTCGCTCACAAAGCATCTAGCATGAGTCCAGGTAGCCGGTTCTCATTAATTACTTAATGCCTGATAAAGTATCTTCATATTTTTCATACAAGGCCTGTAAATACCTGAACCTAGAACTATAGTTCCAAGTACATACACAACTGTGTACTCTAAGAATGAGCGAAATCATCAACGATCTACTGTTTTAATATTGGTGTTGTATGTAATGGCTCCCTTTTCGTAGGTTTGACCAAAATGAATCATCTCATCTCCAGTAGCAAGAGCATAACCAAGCATTTTGAATAAAATACCACTTTTAAAGTGAGTTTCCCAATATTGTTTAAATGTTGAAACTCCATATCAACTAATCATCAGTCTACAGATGCTTAGAAATAAAACAATACTTTGCTTCTACAATTTAAGTCTCTATGTACTTTCTTGCAACAAAAGCCAATCTGTCTCTTTCAAAATTGTTTCTCCTGGCAAATATTTTCACTGTCTGGCCAAGTTTCGTGTTAAAAATAAAGTACAGTATTACAACATCAATCAACATTTAAAGTACTTAATGATCTATGAAAGAAAATATACAGCGATTCTTTTGAAACAACCAAGCCAATCAAGGTTTATTTATATTATCAAATCAAGAGTGCAGCTTTGAGAAAATAAAATCACATTTGTGTTTACAGATATAAAAGCAATATTAAGCACTGAGGTAACGAAAGAAAACATCGTTAAGAAGAGACAAGAATGACTTAAAGACACAACAGAACGGTCTCTTCACTCCCCTTCCTGTCTGTGTGACACTGGCCTCTTGCCTGTCCTCTCAAACACCAGTTGTGTTTGAGGGGACATAATCAGAGTTTCCTGCAGCTAATATTTACCCCATAAAACGAGTCCTAAGTTTCTATACATTTACACTGAATGGTAATTGTCATTTTTTTATATCAATAGGGACCTCTAAGTCTTGTCACATATAATCTAAATCTGAAATATTCTACTACTGGGGGTTTAACTGAGTGCCTGAACAAGTACTAAGTAGTGTAGGGACTCTGATAATATTTACCAACTACAATAAGTCACAGAATTTTTTATCTTAGCATCATCTACTGGAAATTACTCAGGTAGATATCTAAAAAGGGATGTGGCCTTAAACATTATATAGCAGCATGCCACAGAGCATCGTGGTGTCACAGGACCAATGAGCTGGCTCAGAACACTGTTCACTTCCATTAGTGCAATGCTACCCTAAGCTATCAATTCTCTGGCTAATTCTTGGGTAACCAGTGCATCTTCTCTGGGTTGGCCATGTCTGCGGATAATGCTATAGTTGCTCTGGCATTTTCCCAATAAATACTGCCTCCCCATAAGGGCAACCATATCAACATTTAGGGCACAATATAAAGGATGCTGCCCTATCTTTAAAGGAGATGGGGATACACAGAACAAAATACAAGTCAGACTATAAATAACCATTTTCCTGACAGGACAAAATAAAGTAACATGGAAACATCATGAGCTTTGGTCAAGGGTAAGAAGATCAGAGCTCAAATCTCAGTTTCCTTGACTTATAAAATGAAACTCATATCACCTACTCTAGAAATGCTTGTGAAGAGTAAATAAAAGAAGACTAAATATAATGCAGTATATGTCACATAAAACGCCCATGATACTCAATATGTAATTGTTTCCTTGCTGCCCATTTCTGGCCTCCTACGAGATTTAGAGTTCCAAGGCTGGCCAAGTCTGACAAAGTAAGGGCAGTGATTTGCTCAGAACCAAACTATCTTGAGGACACCTACCTCACACAATGTAGCTTATTGTTTTTTGTAGTCCCGAAAATCTCTCGTCTGCTCTCTGCTATTAAGATTCAGGACAACTTCCTCTGGATCATCCGTTGGTACCCATGCGTCAGGGGTTCCTGCTTGTTTGCCTCCTTACTGTCCAAGTCACTGTTTCTGTCATCTGACAGCATCCCTGCTGTGCCATCTCCTAATTTTGCCTATTTCTAATTTCTATTTTATGTTAAGTAGCACTTCTTAATTCCTTAATTACGGGCCTTGGCACTTACTGTGCCCAACCCAGATACCCAAAGGTGGTACATTTCTAGGTTCCATGATCACCTTAAATCATTACCTATTGAATACAGCTCTAGAATAGCTCAACTTCCAGGGACCTTTAAATCAGAGATTAAACAGACATGCAATCTTAGTCAGCTGTTAGATTCAACAAAGCATTCTGAACCACCTGATTACTTGAGGCCCAACTGATAATGCTAAGCATAGGACCTCATCTTAGGGAATTGGTAAGGCTTATATCTTACCAGCACCACACAATCACATAATGAGTCCCTATATGTAAAGCACCATCTATAATCATAAAAAGCTAGTTATACTCATTCATTCCACAAGAAGTTACTCTTTCTCTTGAGAATATTGTCCTACTACATCCCCTGGATGAACACAGAATGAACAGAGAGAAGTCCTAGCCATAAAAAGTCGGGTCAGTAAAATCATTTCCCAATGATGGTCAGTAGGGTGACAACCAACACAACTGGATTGCCTCCATATGCAGGAAACTTTACTGGCCAGCCAGGGCCAACTTTCGACTCTGGTTTCACTAGGACCATGTTAAAATTGAAGCAAGCTGGTCACGGGAGATGGAAATGGAAGTCCCACCCAGTGGAAGCTGGGCTCACTCAACTACATGGATGCCCGGGAAAAGACTACATCTGATTCAACACTAGTGTTGTAGGGGGAAAAAAATGGAAAAAAAAGAAACACCTACTTTGTTTTTTAAGTTCTTCAATTTGTTCTTCCTTTAAATCTAACTGTTCTGTAAGTCTTGATGCTGAATCCAATGCAGCATTTGCTTCATCGAAACGCTCCTGAGGAAAAGAAGTTCATTAAAAAGCAGCATGCAAAAACTATTTCACAAACTACAGAGCTGGAAGCCAGAGTCAATCGATCCTCTTCTGTTCAGCTGACGAAGCTCTGCTTCTGTGACCTTGGGCAAGTTCACACAGTGACTATCAAAGACAGAGCCCATACTTCACAGCACAATACTGTCTCCCTCAGAACTAAATCAAAAAGAGGATGCCACTAAAAGACAATATGGTGACAAAAGTTTTAAAAACTGACAATAATAAGAGCATAAACACTACAAAAGGCAGATACAAAAAGTGAAGAAATACAACATTCTTTTTAATTTTTACAAGTCTGATGAGTATAAAATGACATTACTACTTATTTTAATTTCTATTTCCCTGCTAGTGAATTTGAGCATTTTTCCATGTTTACAGGACAGCTAGAGCTGCTTTTCTGTGAAAACTTCTTTGAATACCTTGTCCATGTTTCTCTTGAGCCTTCTCTTGTCTGTTTCTGAGCACACCTTGTCACCAGCGCTACAAGTATTATTTGCCAGATCTGCCATTTGTCTACTGACTGCATGATACCTTTTGCCATGTAAAAGTATTTAAACATCGTATACAGTTAAACACGTCCTCTTCTGCTTTCACAGCTTCTTGAGTTTTAGTCTTGGTTAGGTTCCTCCTTGCCCCTAGACTCTACATGTACTCTCCCAGATTTTCTGGCAAGGTTTTTTGTTTTGTTTTGAGCATTTATATCTTTCAAATAGTGTTTCTCAATGGGAGTGATTCTGGCATTCCTGGCCCCTGCCCACTAGATCCAGTCACTGTAATGAGCAAAAACAGCCCCAGATTTCCAGCACCACTCCCAGGCAAGAATCTGAGCTTTAATACAATTGGAATTTATTTTTACACATGGTATAATATAGGGATCCAATCTTATTTTCTCCCATATAGATAGCCAGCTGTGGCAACATCATTTATTAGATAATCTATCCTTTTCCCATTAAATTGAAATTAGTTTAGGGTTTCATTTTAAATTCTCAAATATATCCTAGGCTCTATTTCTGGATTCTCCTTCTGTTTGACTAATCTAGTCAATATGCTATTGATTAATAGCTCTACTTTGATATTTAGTAGGAAGTTGCTCCTCACTGTTGTTCTTTCACACAGTTTTCTTGGCTATTCTAGAGTATTCACCCATGTAAATTTTAGGTCAAATTTTACCATCTTGAATCAAAGTGACCGTTTTTTTGATGTGTCATCTTAGATAGGCTATAGCCCCCAGTTATTCAATCAACCATAATCTAGATGTTGCTGTGAAGGTATTTTGCAAATGTAATCAAAGCCCCTAATCGGCTGAATTTAAGGAAGATATGAATAATCAGAGTGGGCCTGACTGAGCTAGTTAAAAGTCCTTGAAAGCAAGGATGAGCCTTCCCCAAAAAGAGAAAAAATTTCTGCCCGACTGCAACTTCAGCCCCTCCCACAGAGTCGTATATCCTGCTTGTGATTTTCTTTCTTGACCATCTGTGGAGAACAACTTTGGCCCATGCCTGTGATGGGATCTTCCCATTTTGACTACCAACTCCCACAATCACACTGCCAATTCCTTATAATAAATCTCATAGATGTCTATCTATATATGGCATATCAGTATGTGTGTGTGTCTGTGTGTGCGTACTCACAACACCCCCCTCCCTGCTGGTTCTGCTCCTCAGGTTGAACCCTAACTGATACATAGAGGGACTGAAACAAAAAATTTTAAATAAAAAATTTAATATTCCAAATCCACAAAACTAAATTTAGTATAAAGGAAATTTAAATAAATCTTCAAATAATTTTTTTTAACCTCACAGCATTTTTATTTAAGAAATTATTAAATCTCACGGGCTCCTGGGTGGCTCAGTCGGTTAAGCGTCTGCCTTTGGCTCAGGTCATGATCCCAGGGTTCTGGGATCAAGTCCCACATTGGACTCTCTGCTCAGCAAAGAGTCTGCTTCTCCCTCTTGCTCTGCCTACTTGTGTTCTTTCTCTATCAAATCAATACATAAAATCTTAAAAAAAAAAAGTTATTAAATCTCAAAACTACACTAAGACTTTTTCTAAAATTAAGATTTAGACTTAATTATTCTTTCTACCATTTGCTTGGGTTTTATTTCACCAATTTCAGCTTTTATTTTTACTAATTCCCTCTTGGTTTCTTCTGATTTGTTTTCTAAGTATATGTCACATTTTACATTAAAAATAAAGCTAGTTTAAAAAGAAGATATGCACTTCTATTCTAATAATGTGGCAGACAACATACTCTGGACCCACTAGAAACAACTAAAAGTATTGGATAAAATATTTTTTTAAACATATTAATGAGCGGACCAGAAAGTAAGCATAAATGGTCAATGAACATATTAAAAGATGCTTGCTCTTGTTAGCAGTCAGACAAATGCAAATTAAAACCATAAGAAGACAGCCCTACCCACTACACTGGCAAAAACTTTAAAAATTCTAAAATGCCAAGTATTGCCAAGGATGCAGACCAAGAACTCTTATGCACCACTGTTAGGAGACATTAGGACTACCGCTATAAAACAACTTGCCATCCTTATATAAAGTTGAAACTGCCCATATATATCTCAGGACTCAGCAATTCCGATCAAGATACATGCCTGGAGGAAACGCTCGTACGTGTGCACCAGGAGATGTAAACAAGGAAGTTCAGAACCACACCGTTTGTATAGCAGATAATGGCAAGGTCTATTATCAGTAAAATGGATAAATTATACATTCATGCAATAAACACAGCGGTGAAAATAATAAGCCATGCACACGTAACACACAGTTAACACAGCTAAAACTCATGAACATAGTAACTAAGTGAAAAAAGCAAGTTTCAGGAGAATTACTGAATTTACATCCGTTTCAAAATTCCATTTACACAGAGTTCAAAATTATGCAAAACCATACACTGTATCATTTGGAGATGCAAATATATGTGATAAAACCATAAAGAAAAAACAGGGGGTGCATAAATACATTCTAGACTCGTGGTTCTCTATGAAGTGGTAAGAAGGGAATGAGAGGGCGCCTAGGTGGCTCAATCAGTTAAGTGTCTGCCTTTGGCTCAGGTCACGATCCCAGGTCCTGGGCCTGAGGCCAGCATGGGGTTCTCTGCTCAGTGGGGAGTCTGCTTCTCCCTCTGCCCCTGCCCCCTGCTCGTGATTATCTCACTCCCTCTCTCCCTTTACCCTCTACCTCCCTTTACCTCCCTCCCGCACCCCCCAAAATAAAATATTAAAAAAAAAACAAACCAGATGAGAAATGGAGGGTACGCCAGGACTTCCAAAGATGACACTGTTCTTATAATGGGCAGGCAAGTACGAGGGTACCTGCTCTACTGCTCTTCTTTTATTTTATATGTATTATTTAATACTGTTTTACAGCCACTCAGTATTTAATAAAAATTTCAAAACTTTAAAGGAAATATGTCTTCCTTTATTAGGAATATTAACAAGGCAGAACAGCATATTCACCACTAATGACAGGTAAACAAATTGTATTACTTTCCATCAGGTGTCGACAAAGTCTACTTATAACTTAGAAAAGTTCATCCTAAATTCTTAAAGCAAGTCACATCTCTTCATGGGGATTCATTTTATTTATATTTTATATATAATTTTTCTACATGTGAACTGTAAGAAAGAAAGATATTTTAAAGGATTATGCTGCAAAAGAAAAAGATCTAAAGGATAATATACTTTATTTTAATCCATGTGAAATAGAGTGCCCAATATATCTTGTTGAAAAGAGAAAATTATAAAGTTACAAGTGTAAATTAATTTTTTTAGTGGCCCCTAAAATACTCATCTGTGCTAAAGAATTAAAATTTCCCGGGTGCCTGGGTGGCTCAGTTGGTTGGGCGGCTGCCTTCGGCTCAGGTCATGATCCAGGAGTCCCGGGATCGAGTTCCGCATCGGGCTCCCTGCTCAGCGGGGAGTCTGCTTCTCCCTCTGACCCTCCACCCTCTCCTGCTCTCTCTCAAATAAATAAATAAAATCTTTAAAAAAAAAAAAAAGAATTAAAATTTCCCATCATCTCATATGTGTTGTGTCTAAACTGTAAGCCACATGGGGAAAGTCCTGAATCTCTTGTTCACCATTACATCCCAGCATAGGGTAACAAGTAACCAAACAGTACTTACTGAAACTAACTGTTTAGGAAATTATTTCAAGATAAAGATTCTACAAGTAATTGTTCATGAATAATAATATTTGTAAGAGAAAATTATTTCAACCAACCTGTAATGACATCAGTTTTCCTTCCAGATTCTCTGCCTTTTTCTTCCATTCAGCTACAAGCTGTTTGTACTTTTCTAGTTCAGCAGAATACATAGCTTTTTCCTCTAAAGAGAAAATAAAGTTACACTAGTATTCTGCAATTGTGTGATAAAATTAGAATTTTATACCACTTGAAATTTTAAGAATTCAACAGAAACAGTTCAAGTCTCTCAACAAGAAAATTATATATGCCTTAGATCATGTGAGCTGGAATTAAAGAAATTAAGTTTCCTCTGCCTAAATCCTTCTCTACCTTATTCATCATGCAAACTCTTCCCTCCCTTCAGAACTCCAATCAAATATTTCATCTTTGGTAAAGCCTTCCCTACAGACATACTACTTTGTACACCTGTCCATTCTAGTATGTATTACATACAATGGACCTTGAGAATTCTTATTTTAAAATTCAAGATTTCAACCATGAGTAAGCCTGAAGACTGAGATAAGATATGTACAAATTCAAAGTTTTGCTTAGGCACAAAAATTATAACCCCTATTACTTCATCACCCTCATATCCCCCAATCACTTGCACCCTACTAGCAGTTAGTTCACTGCCAATCACTACTGAATGTATGAATAAACAGAGAGATGGGTAAAAGGAATGATCTAAAGGAGGTACATGTGAGGTGGGAGGTAGATGTGAAAAAGTATACTTGGTCATCAGAGTAATACCTGCTCTCTGGTCATTGTGTCTGTGTCTCCAGAAAAATATTTTCCACCTGGACTAGAAAATGCAGTTGCCTCAAGGTATATGAACAGCTAAGAACAAGTCAATCAATATTTCAAAGGACAGTAATTACTGATGATTAACTCTCTGAAGTAGATTTAACCTCTGACCAGTATCTCAAAACCTAAGTATTGCTTCTACATGGTCCCCTCTTTTATCACGTGATCATCCCTTCCTATGTCATCCTTATTAACCTTCCCCAACTCTCACCTTCACTGGTCATAATATGATACTAAAACGTATCTTTAATAATTCCTATATACCACATTCTCTAGTCTTAACTGTAAAAGGAGCCTATATTAACTTGTTGATGGCAACTTATCTTTCCCTCCTACAAGTAGGTAACCTTTCAAAGATTTCCCTGTGCCTATTTCAAAATAGCACCAAAATAGGCCAGAATTCCCAATAACTACAATAATTTTTCTTCATTGAAAGACTGACCATACAACTCACCTTGCTGGAAATGCTCTAGTACCATCTGGAGGTTGGAGAGTGATAGAGCATACTGCTTTACTTGTTCCCGAGAGACAGAAAGCTGCAGTGTGGTTTCATCCCTTTGCTTGGAGACCATATTCAGTTGCTCCTGCAGTGACTCTACCTGCAAACTGGCCTGATGGCTTCCAACAAAAAGAATAAAAGTCAGGGGTGCCTGGGTGGCTCAGTTGGTTAAGCGTCTGACTTCTGATTTCGAGCGGTCATGATCTCAGGGTTGTAAGACTGAGCCCTGCGTCAGGCTCCATGCTAAGCGTGGAGCCTGCTTAAGAGTCTCTCTGCCCCCCACCCCCAAAAAAGAAAAAGAATAAAAGTCAAAGTGTTTCTATTACTTTAACAAGATAAAACCACTTCCCTACTTTTGTGTGTGTGTGTGTGTGTGTGTGTGTGGAAATACATACATAACATTCACAATGTTGTGCAACCATCACCACCATCCATCTCCAGAACTTCATCCTCCCAAGGGGAAGCTCCACATCCATTAAGCAGTAACTCCCCCTTCCCCCAGCAACCACCATTCTACCTTCTGTCTCCATGAATTTGACCTTCCTTACATTTCACTGCATTAAATTCAAGTTAGATTTCAAAGAAACTTTGTTCTCCCTGTTTTGTTAGTTCATTCTTCCCATGAAAGTGACTTTGAACAAATGGCAGTCATTTTAAAGATTAAAAGCTGAACTAAACAAGAAACATAAGTATAATAAAAATTTACAAACAGCCTGCAACATTCATGTTTCCAGGCTAAAACTTTAAGATGTAATTTATCATAAAATTGTAAATTGCAAGGACCTTGGAAGTCATTTTGTCCAGCTTCCAACCCAATAAGCAATGGATTCTGAAACCTTCTTCACTTTTGACACTTGCAACTATGGTGAACTCACAACTTTCCAAAGGCTATCCCATTGACAAAATGCTCTTTATCTTTCACTATCATCTTTCTTTCTCTTTAAATACAATAACCCCTATATCTGCCCCAAATAATAAATCAGAAATCCCTTAGAGATTTATTTATCCAGGTTTGTATCACTGATATACTTCCTTAATGTATAATGATTACAAATAAGATACTGCAATAGCCTTTCCTGGGTTTTTAATATCCAGTTAATAAATTCTTATTCAGGAGCCATCCATTAAAGCCCATTAAGCACAGCGCACTTTGAGGAAACTTTACCCAATAGCACCCTCTTGTGGGAAGAGCAGTAAATTGATAATCAGGAAACAACTCTGCCCTCAAATATCACTGGATTTTATGCAACCTTGCTGGTTAGCATGTCACTGAACGGGTGGCTGCAAGGATGAAATGGGCTATGAGGTCACTCAAGAAGTTAACACCAGGTATTACTACAGTTAATAAAGGGCTCAAAACACTGTAATCTCGTTTGTAGATCCGAGTCACTCATTCAAAAGTATTACTGAACATTTGGGACGCCTGGGTGGCACAGTTGGTTAAGTGTCTGCCTTTGGCTCAGGTTGGGATTGAGGCCCATGTTGGGCTCCCTGCTCCACAGGGAGCCTGCTTCTCCCTTTCCCTCTGCCTGCCACTGACCCTGCTTGTGCTCACTCTGTCAAATAAATGAATAAAATCTTATGAATAAATAAACAAACAAACATACATCAATGCCCACTCCCAGTGACCTTATATTTCACTGGATGGGAGAAGATATAAGATGGGTCAACAATTACTTTTGTACTCTAAAGTAAAATGGAAGTGTGCTACCAAAGATTCAAACAAAGCATTATGCAGGTTCAAAAGGAAAACATCACACCGAGGTTTGGTTTTGAATCTGAGGAATGGGATGCTAACTAAAGCATTCTTTACAAAGGATATGCTATTTGAAGAAGGTGGGACTAAGAGAAAAACTGTTAGGAATCAGGCCTACTCTAGGCAAAAAAATATGAAATGAAAAGGTAGAAGATAGGGTGCCTCGGTGATTCAGTCAGTTAAGCATCTACCTCTTGATTTCGGCTCAGGTCATGATCTCAGTCAGGGTCGTGAGAGCAAGTCCCACATTGGGCTCTGTGGGGAGTATGCTGTAGATTTTCTCCCCCTGCCCCCCAACCCTGCTCATGCATGCGCCCTCACATGCTCTCTCTCTCCCTCTACCTAATAAATAAATAAATCTTAAAAAGAAAAGAAAAGCAGAAGAAATAGGAAAACAGTATCTCTAGCTAAAGGACTGAGTAAGACAGTTTGGCTGGATGTATAGCGTGAAATAAGGCTAATGAGGGTGCAGATAGCCCAGACACTATTTTAATTAGAGAAAATAAGGACCCAAAAATTTGAAGGAAAGATTATCTAATTTTATTGCCTGAGAATGTTTTGGCATTTCTGCCAATGTGAAACACACACACAAATGATCACTCGTTTTAATTATCATTTTAAACAAGTTTTCTTTATGAGACTGAAGGTACAATAATATTCCCTGCAAAGCACTGGGAGTTCACCTCAGAAATACGGTCTCCACTGACCTTTAATCTCTTTGCAGAGGTAATATCTACTATGTCCTTATATCTCCCCTCAGCATCATACACAGTGAAAAACAGAAAGATGTACATACCACTAATGGAATTATAAATGGACATATTTCTGGAAGATTATTTGGCAATACATCTCAAAAGTTTTAAAAATGCCCTTTGAACCAGACCTGCCATTTCTGAAAACCGAAGCTAAGAAAATAATTTGTCATCAAACCAAAAATACGTATCTTGGGATATCATGACAGCATTCTTAGTAATTCTGAAAAGCTGAAACACTTCTAAATGTCCAATAATAAATGACTGGATTAAAGAAGTTATGGAAAATCCAAATAATAGTACGCTATGTAGCCATAAAATGATAATGCAAAAACATGGCTTAACATGTGCTGATACTCATATTATTAAGTATGGAAGCAGATTACAAAACAGTGTCAACAGTATGACCTTAATTTTGCTTTTAAAAATACATATAATATGGGGCACCTGGGTGGCTCAGTCGGTTGAGCAACCGACTCTTGATCTCAGTTCAGGTCTTGATCTCAGAAGTCGTGAGTTCAAACCCCACCTTGGGGCCCACTTAAAAAAATATATATATATAATATATACATACATATATAAGAAGCATGCAAAGGCACCAAAAAAGGATTATCTCTGGATGGGACTGTGACTTTATGTTCTTTTTGGTTTACGTAATTTTCCTGAAGTGCAAAATAGGTTTTTATAATAAAAAGGGAAAAAAAGAAAATACATTATTTTCAAAAGTTTTTTTTAAATTTGAGAGAGATAGAGCACAAGCAGGGAGAGCAGCAGAGGGAGAGGGAGAAGCAGGCTCCCCGCTGAACAGGGAGCCTGATGTGGAGCTCAATCCCAGGACCCTGGCACCCCAAGAAAATACATTTTACTGAGAGAAATAAAATTTTAAAATATATAAGCAGGGAATCAATCATGCCTCCGTAATGAAGCCTCCATAAAACCTCCCAAGGAGAGGGTTTGGAAAGCTTCCAGGCTGATGAGCACTGGGAGATGTGGAGAGGGCTGCCTGCTGGGAGGGAGCTGGAAGCTCTGCACCCCTACCCCATGCCTTGCCCTACCTATCTCTCCATCTGCTGTTCCCTGAGTTAAGGCCTTTTATAATAAACTGGTACTCTAGTAAAAATAAAATAAAAATATAGAAGCAGGGACCTAGCAATTCAAAAGTTCCAACAAACCAAGAGCTAATTCATACTGACTTAGGTCTTCACTTGGTTACTTCCTTTTTTTTTTTTTTTTTAAAGATTTTATTTATTTATTTGACAGAGAGAGAGACAGCGAGAGCAGGAACACAAGCAGGGGGAGCGGGAGAGGGAGAAGCAGGCTTCCCGCTGAGCAGGGAGCCCGATGCAGGGCTCGATCCCAGGACGCTGGGATCATGACCTGAGCCAAAGGCAGACGCTTACCGACTGAGCCACCCAGGCGCCCCTACCTTGCTACTTCCTTTACTCTCTCCCTTCTAATACCCAAACGTATGTCAAATTAGTTCTCTGGGAGCATGACAAAGTCAATTAAAATCCGTCAGGAAAAAAAAAAGAAAATCAGAATTTACGTCTAAACTCTTAAAACAATGAGAGGCAATTATCTAGGGTGGTAGTTAAGATTCAGAGAGAGCTAGTACACTTATGGTAAAAAATAAATAAATAAAATTATTTTTTAAAAAAGGAAAAAAGAAAAGACAGGTTCAGAGAGAGCTGTTTGAATGCCAGATCTGGTCAAGAGTTACAGACCCGAACGTGAAACTCACACACATACTCTGCGTCTGACCTTGGGCAGCTTACTAAACTTCTTTACCCTCAGCATCTTCATCTGTCATTTGGAGATAATGAATTTTGTAAGAGTAAAATGAGGTAAGCCAGGAAAAATGCTTATTGATTCTGACACTCAAGAAGTGTTCAACTAATGTGAGTGCTAAAAACAGGGAAAAGTTACCTTGCATTTTCCATTGCATTGGAAGATGAAACTAGCTTTTCCTCCAATACTGTGACTTTCTTTCTCAGTTTGGCCTCTCTATCTTCTGCAGCCAAAGCTTCGCGGGTGTAAGAATCCTCTGATTCTAAAAGATGGTTACGCAATCTCTCTAGCTCCTGGTTTAAGCGTAATTCTTTGTCACGTAAATGTTGAACCTAGGCAGAGGACACCTCTTTATTTTTCTTCTATAAAATGTTCCCCTTTCCCCTCTACAAGCCACTTTGTTGTCAAATCTTTTGCCCATTACTGAAGTATATTAATTATATACTAATTACTCATATTGCAAGACGTATTTATATTAGGAAAAAGGTCTCCAAAAACCAACTTTTCATCTGGAAGTTTTATTTTTTAAGAGCTCATTCCCTGTGGCTGTAATGAAAAATGGAATTGTACCAAGTACAAGGCTCTTTGTGACAGACCACTTTTTCAGTAAAAATCTCACTTTTTCATACGTTATGGGTGAGAATTTTTTTTTAAACTGAAGTATATTTGACAATATTATACTAGTTTCAAGTATACAACATAGTGATTCAACAATTCTACATGTTACGCTCTGCTCACCATGGTCAGCGTAGTTATCATGTCATCATACGTTATTACAATATTGACTATATTCATTATGATTTATTTTTCAGCCCTGTGACTTATTTATAACTAGAAATTTTTACCTCTTAATCCCCTTGACCTACTTTGCCCATCTTCCCTAAACCCCTCCCCGCTAGCAACCACCAGTTTGTTCCCCATGTTTATGATTCTGTCTCTGTTTCACTGTTTTTTTAGATTCCACATAAGTGAAACCACACTGTATTTTCCTTTTTCTGTCTGACTTCTTTCCCTTAGCATAATACACCCTCCAGGTCCATCCATGTTGTTGCAAATAGCAAGATCTCATTCCTTTTTACGGATGAGTAATATTCCATTTATACACCACTTCTTTATTCATTCATCTATCAATGGACGCTTAGGTGGCTTCCCTATCTTAGCTCAGTAAACATAAGGATGCATGTATCTTTCTGAACTAGTGTTTTCATTTTTGGAGGGTAAATACTCAGTAATGGACTACTAGATTATATGGTATTTCTATGTTTAATTTTTTGAGGAACCTGCATACTGTTTTCTACAGTGATTGCATCAATGGGAAATTTTTTTTTATAACCAAGATACGCCATGGGTGTGTGTGTGTGTGTGTGTGTGTGTGTGTGTGTATAAAATATATACTCTGGGAGGTCAAGATCCTACAGTATAACACATCAGAGGAAGACTGAGAAAAAATCACCCAAGAGAGAAATTAATTTTAATAATTCATTCTAGTTTTCTTAACAATTAGTAAGCTTACTGCTTGAATCAATTTCTTTAAAGTAAAAGCATACCTCATTCTGTAAAGCACTGTTTTCCATTTGTTTCTGTTTCAGGGCCAACATGACCTGGTCTCTCTCCTGTTGAAACTTAACTGTCTTCTCCTGCATTGATTTAACTGCATTTAAAAGCTGATTTAACTCCCCAGTCTTGCCCTTTTGGAAAGAAATAACTTTAGCTTTAAGAAAAACACCTTTAAAAAGACAGTTTCTTCATTAAATAATTAATTTTGAGATACAGTTAACCATAACAAGATCATCAAAAACAGAGTCTGAGAAACTGTCTAGAGAAGCCTAAGGAGACATGACAACTAAATATAATGTGTTATCCTGGATGGCATCCTGAACAGAAAAAAGACATTTGGTAATTTTTTTGGTTAAAAAAAAAAAAAAATTAAGGAATTTAAAAAAAAGTAGGAACTTCAGTTAATAGTAATATATCAATATTCGTGAATTCATTGTTACAAGTATAGCATAGTAATCTAAGATGTTAATAAACAAGGGAAACTGGGTGTGAGGCATATGGGAACTCTATTATCTTTTCAACTTTTCAAATAAACTATTCTGGAAGACAAAGTTATTAGAAAAGTTGTTAAAAGAATTCTCTCACTCTCAAATAAAATAAAATCTTTTTAAAAAAAGGTTTTAATTCAAAAGACACAATCTCTTCAAATTTACCCTATACAACAAAGTGTTCACAGATCCCAAAATCAATCAAAAGAGTATGAGAGAGAGTTATGTGTGTGCGTTCATTCATCAGGCCTGCACAACTGTTCCTCAGAAAGTACAAGTCACTGGCAAAGAAAAGACAGGGAAGTCATTTCAACACTTCTGTTTTCAAAAGAAAAATATTAATTGCTACTAAAGTCTTGTTTTCTATTTAAATTAACCTGTTGCTAAAAATGTTTGGAAAGATCTAGTAATTTAGGGGCGAAACCTCCAGGTACCTTTGAGGAAAATTTCATAAAACCCTGAAATGAATATTTCTGAACGAACAACTTCACATTCCTGTTCAAACATAATTATCTATAAAGTAATCAACCCATTGGAAAATCTTCTCCACCCCAATTTTCCTCTATAAAATTCCATCCCCAACATACCTGCTCTTTTTCTTTCAGTAGCTGCTCAAACGCGAGAGCCTTTTCCTTCATTGAATGGCACTCAAACTCTTTTTCTCGAAGCATCATGGAAAACTTTGTATTAGTCTCCTGTAATGCTTGATACTCCGTTTCCTTTTCCCTGGTTGTTTCTACTATTTTTTCATTTTCTTCTTTTAGTTTGAAAATGTCCATTTCTAAAATTAATATCCGCTCCTTCAGGTTGGTTACTGCCTGCCTCAAAAGTTCATTTTCATTCACTTTGTTGGTGAAATTTTCATTTAAAGAAAGCAACTGATCACTTTTGGCTTTGATTAAGAGGTCTTTCTCCTTAAGTGACTTTTGTAGGACATCTTGTTTCTCCTTTAGCTGCTTAATTTCTGAATCCGTCTGTTCCTGTTCTTTTCTTTCTAGCTCTGAGGTGGCAGCAATCGAATCAGACAACCTGTGATTATTTTCCTGGAGCGTTTTAATTGTTGCATCTTTTTCCTGCAGTGACTTTCTTAGCTCTTCCAGCTCCTGTTTAGAAGACTCGCTTGATGTATCAGGCTTAACTGTTCCAAGAGACTCTGCTGGCTGGGAAGGAGGCGATGATCCGGAGGAGAGTTGAGGTGAAATAATATCAAGTTTTCCTAAAAGAAGATCTTTGGTACTGCACAGCTGCCCTATGCTGTGCTGAACCTGTGCTAGCTCCTGCCCAAAACTTTTGAGTTTGGTTTCATTCTGCTCATAACTTTGGATCAGGCCAGTGTAGTCCACTTGTAATTTAGAATTATTATCACTGTCAACCAAAACTTGTGCCTGAAGCTGATGGAGTTCCTCCTGAAGCTGGGCAGACTCATGCTGCATATTCTGGACCGTGGTCATCACCTGCTGTTTCCACTCTTCCATCTTCTTCACTTGTTGTTTTAATTTGTCGCGTTCCTGTAGAAGCTCCTCAAACTGATTGCTGTTAACACCTCCAACCTCATTCCCAGTGCTGGATGTTTGTAAAACCGTCAATAAGGTCTGGCATTTCTGACTTAATGCATCTATCTCAATGTCTTTTTCTCGAATGATACGTGATAAATTCTGAACAGTTTCTCTAAACATATCTTGGCCACCACCTTCAGATCTAGTGGACAATTTTTTATTTTCATCTTGCAGCTTCACGAGAGCTGCCTCTTTGGCAGCAACGATATCCATCATTTTGTGGTATTCCGTTTTCAGGTGGCTATTTTCCCTAGTCTTCTCACTCAAAACAGCTAACACCTGTTCTCTCTCCATAGCGTAGGCCTGCAGCTGCTGCTGAAGGTAGACAACATCCTGGGAGTAGGAAGCTGAAGAAATTCTAGCGTGAAGAGCTTGTATCTCCAAGTCTTTCTGCTGGATGATCTGAGTGAGTTTACCAACCTCATCTTTGGACAGCTGATCAATCTGTTTTGTTAAAGATATATTCTTTTCATTCAGAAGTTTAATCTCCAATTCTCGTTCTTTTATTCCTTTTACTAATCTCTCAGTTTCGGCTTTAGATAAATCATGTTTTTCACTGCCATTTTCTATGTTAAGGCTCTGTACTTTCGTTTCTTGAAAGATCTCACAATTCTCCGTTTGAACGCCCTGTCTTTCTTCATGCAACTGGGTTTTGATTTGTTCAACTGTTTTTTGCAAATTCTTAATCTCCTCATCTTTCTCTAAGAAGAGTCGGGTGTGGGTGACATTCATTTGCTCATGCTGGCACTTAAACTCATCCATTTCCTTCTTCTGTTCCTCTAAAGACTGAAGCAGCTGCATTTTACTCTGGTTTTGATCTTCAATAATCTTCTGATGATGTTTTATTTCCTCCTCAAGATTCCCCTTTATAATATTCAGTTGCAACACCTCAGACTCTAGCTCAGTAACATTGTCAAGGGGTTTAGGCTCCACCACAGGTGCAGCTCGACTCTGCTGCTCCCGGAGCCGTTCCAGTTCTTCTTTTAGATGATTGTTTTCTTCTTTCATGGACCCAAGACTTCTGTCTTTTTCCTCCATGGTTTGCTTCAAAATTTCATTTTTTCTTAAGGCCTCAGTATATTTATCCAATTCCTCCTGAAGCTCTGAACTTCTTTCTTTAAGTTTTTCAATAAAAATTTCCTTCTCACTTATAAGTTGTGTTAAGTGCTTCTGCTCTTCTAAACTAGATGACAAAATTTCCTTGGTTTCTTGATGATGAGTATCCATTTGCTCAATGTTCTTTTTGAGTTCTGCTATTTCAAAGTCTTTCTCTTGACTGAGTTTCATTAAACACTGCTGTTCCAGCTGTAAAGCAGAGGTGCTCAAATCACGTGCCTTTGACAGTTCTTTAATCGTCTGCTCATACTTACTGGCTTCTTCCAACAGCCTCTGTTCAGCCCGACTCAATTCTGCTTCTAACTGTCCTTTTTCCATTTTTAGAGCCTCCACAATAGTGTTTCTTTCCAGAGAAATCTGATTGCTACCAGCAATGGATTCTTCCAACTGATGTCTTACATCCTCACATGCTAAAACCAACTTTTCATTTTCCATTTTGAGATCAAAAGCAACTTTGTTTAAACTGTCATTGAGCTTTTTTATTTCTGAAAGATTTTGCTTTAAATTTCTGACTTCGGCTTCCCTTTCTTTAAGTAAGTCATCCTTAAAATCACTGCCAGAGTCGCGATTTAGAGACTGAGTTAACTCATCCCTGACTCTAGAAAGCTCTTCCTCATTTTGTTTAATATGTTCCTTAAGTCCACAGTTCTCCTTCTGCATGTTTAAATTACTTTTTTGTGATTTATTTAGCTGATCTACTAAATCTTCTACTTTTTCCTCAAGCTTCTGCTTGGCTAAATGCAAATCATTTAGGACGAGTTCACTTTGAACTAACTTCTCCTTCTGCACGGCTAGCTCTTTAGTCATGTTAATTTTATCATCTTCAAGTTGATGGACTCTCCTGTTTTCATCATTTAGATCTTTTCTCAGTTTACTAATGATGCTGTCTCCCTCAATTTGTTGCTTTGATAGCTGATCTTTTATCAGAATCATGTGCTAAAAGAAAAATAATTTGCATGGTAACTTTAAGACATTCTCTCATTTTAGTACCTAACAAAAATTTTGTAAAATGTCATAAATAATAGAAGAATAATCCTCAGATACTTCTAATCCTTCTTAAAACAATACTTAAAAAAAAAAAAAAAAAATCCCAACATGTAGGAGCACCTGGGTGGCGCAGTTGGTTAAGCCTCCGACTCTTGGGTTTTGGCTCAGGTCATGATCTCAGGGTCATGGGATCGAGGCCCATGTCAGGCTCCCATGCTCAATGCGCAGTCAGCTTGAGGCTCTCCCTCCCTCTGTCCCTTGCCCTGCTCATGTACACACCCACACACACTCTCTCTCTCTCAAATAAATCTTTTTTAAGTCCCATCATTTAATCCCAACAAAATTACTAACATCTTACAGCAAATCAATTTCATTATTTAGAGACTAGAACTTAAAACCAGAGAAGGTACATGACATATGTTGCTCATTTCCAACTCTTCAACACTGGGGTAGGAGTCATACAGCCCCTGAGCCAAACCTGGCCAGCCACCTGTTTTTGTAGATCAAGTCTTACTGGGCTACAGCCATGCTCATAGTTTACATGTCACAAGAGCGGAGCTGAGTACAACTGAGACCACTATATGGCCTGCACAGCCAAAAAATATTTACTATCTAACCCTTTACAGAAAAAGTTTGTCAACCTCTATGATTAGATTATCAATGAAGCAAAAATATTAATTAAATCACGTTTTAAATCACACCCATCACTTTCACTTGTTACTCCAGTGTTCAGTGTACTGAGAAGAGCTCTGGTTTTCACATTGTGTTACCTTTGTAGCTTCTTGGTTCTGTCTGTCCAATTCCTCTAACTCAGCTACAAGTATTTCCTTCTCAGTGAGACTCTGATTAAGTTCCTGCTCCTTTGCCTCCAAAGTCAGTCTTAAGTCGTGTAATGTTGACTTCAAATCCATCTCTCTCGCAGCTGTACTTTTAATTACTTCATACTCACTGTTCAATTTTAAAAGTGATAGCTGAAGCTCTTCCTTAAATAATAAAAAGGGGGAAAAACAACATATACTGTCAACTGGAAGAAGACACTAAAAGATTAAAAAAAATACATACATACATACATACATATATATATATATAAACAAAACTTGGGAATCTATTCTCAGATGCCTGTGTCGGAAACATTACTGAATAAGACTTCCGCAACAATACATAACATTCAACAAATTGGGGCGCCTGGGTGGCTCAGTTGTTAAGCGTCTGCCTTCGGCTCGGGTCGTGATCCCAGAGTCCTGGGATCGAGCCCCATGTCGGGCTCCCGGCTTGGCGGGAAGCCTGCTTCTCCCTCTCCCACTCCTCCTGCTTGTATTCCTGCTCTCGCTGTCTCTGTCAAATAAATAAATAAAATCTTTAAAAAAAATAAAAATAAAGTTGTATGTGCGAGGGGATATGGGTGGGGGGATGGGGTAACTGGGTGATGGGCATTAAGGAGGGCACGTGATGTGACAGGCACTGGGTGTTATATGTAACTGATGAATTACTGAACTTTACAGCTAAAACTAATGATGTACTATGTTGGCTAATTGAATTTAACTTAAAAAAATAGTCATATGTTCAATCAGGAGAATCACAAGTTTTTTCTCAGGTAGATGTTAAGAACATGCACGGCCTTGCAGGTACATTTGGCATTCTTAAGCAGTGAGCAGACCCGTAACAGTGAAAATTAAAGGACAAGTTATGAAGGATTACTTAACATCAAAGAAAGGAGCAACAGCTATCAGGCCTGGCTACAGAATCCAAAAATATCATGGCAAAGTTACAGATCTATCAGATATGTGCAGAGATCTGCAAACTACGAAGTACACCTAGGAGAGTTAGAGAAAGGAGCAGAATGCAAAGGGAGCAGAAAAGAGCAGAGAAAATATAGATAATATAAGAATTAAAAAAGAGTAGGAGACACTGGCTTTTAGTAGATAGAAAGGGTGGGGGCAAGGATCCCACAATGCATACAACAGTGCATAAAACTAAGAAATTTCCATGCTGATAACATCCCTTTGAGAAACACTGCATATATGCTAATGTGGAAGGATACTGAAAATATGTTAAGGTATATATGAATAGTATGTATAGTATGCTAACAGTTGTATTTTTCTAAAGCTATTTATATAATCATACATACATAAGTGTAGTCTGGAAGGATGGACATACAAAAAACTGGGAACTGCCTTCAGGGGCGCCTGGGTGGCTCAGTCGGTTAAGCGTTCATCGGAAACCAAAACAGTCTTCACCTATCTTTTTTGCTCCTATCTGTATGCTTACTGGCTGCCTTATCTGTAAATGTGAACTCTGGTCAGCCTCTCATACTCTGAACTTTGCCCAAATACCTCATACTGGTCTGACAAGCATCAACGACACCAGTTTTATCCTCAGGACTCTCAAGACCTAAACATTCCATTTTGATATAAACTGGCCCTTGGCTGTGACCTGTAATACACACATTTTAATTCTGCCCCCATTTTTACTGTACCTACCTTTTCTTGACTCAATAAGGACTTCTGTTTTTCTAAAGTTTCAACATGCATTTTAAGTTTCAAATTGTCTTCAGTGAGACTGTTATCCTACAAAACGTTAAAACAGTGTGTTTTCAGATAAATTTCAAGTTTACAAAAAAAGTAGGCAAGCTGTACTATTGTGCATTTGTACTCAGCCTTTCTCTAGTGACACATAAACATTATAGGCATGCAACACTGGACCATCTAAAGCCAGTCACTCATGTTATAAATATTCTTAGAATTTTATTATATTTCAAAAAATATATAAGTACATTTACAAAATTAGCCTGTAATCATTAGTAACAGAAGCAACTCTGAATTCCTTAAGGGAAATCAAACTGCATTCCTCACTGTGGAAAATCTGCTTCCTGTCAAATTAATCTTGAAAGTGATATACTTGCATTTTTTAATTATGTAACTTTTAAAATTATGTCAATTTATGATTCAAAAAGTTTGTTATTAATCAAACATAAAATTACTAAGATGCAAGTTCCTAGGATAAGTTCATGTGAATTTGTAAAAAACAGGAAACAAGCAATTACAATAATCAAAATATTTTTTCTTGATAAATCAAAGCCAAAAGCTCTTTCTCATTAAAATTAGTTTACCTGGGCACCTGAGTGGCTCAGTTGGTTAAGCGACTGCCTTTGGCTCAGGTCATGATCCTGGAGTCCCGGGATCGAGTCCCGCATCGGACTCCCTGCTCAGCAGGGAGTCTGCTTCTCCCTCGGACCCTCCCCCCTCTCATGCTCTCTATCTCATTCTCTCTCTCAAATAAATAAATAAAATCTTAAAAAAATAAAATGTTTACCTGGTTTAAATTACTCAGTCTCAAAATTTCATTTTCAGCATCTGTAAAAACAATGAATCTGACATTAAAATTCTTCAACTTAATAATTACCTCCTACATTAAACTCAGGAATAAAACTCAATTAAAATAAAATTTATTTATAGGCACAATCAGCAAGCCCAAATGGTTCGTAGTGAAATGCATTTTTGTTGTTTTATATTTCTACTTGACTGTATCAAAGAAATCAAAATATAAATAAATGCCAGTAGACGCTCCATTAAAATGCAGTCCTATGGAACCACAGAAAAAAGAATTATAATTGTATTCTGGATGAGTTATAAGTTATTGCCTTGATAAAAACATTAATAACAATGTTTCAAAATGAGTTGATTAGTTTGTGTAGCAGGAAACAGTAAAGGGACTGAGACTGGGGAGAAATGGTTAAAAACAAAAATGTATATTTATACCACAATGATACAATAATCTCTCAATTCTCTAAAGTGACTTAGACATGAAGACAGATAAAAAGACCATTCAAGCTGGTATTACAGATAGATCCACATACAGAAGCGGTTCTAGGAGAACACAAAGACAGAATACCATTAGTTCAGCTGAAGTAATTCATTCAATTTTCATTCAGATAATAGTAGGCATTTTCTATGAGATCAGTTAGTTGCTGGACAACAAGATGAAAACATTTAGTCCCTGCTTGCTCTCAGGGAGCTTTCAATTCAGAGGGAAAGGAAGCACACGACTCCAGTACTGTGTGATACAGGGAGCACGAGGTGCTACTAGAGCAAAAAGGGCAAACGCCTACTCCAGATTGCGGGGTGGGGGCTAAGGAGGGCCCGGAAAGCAGTAGCATAGGTACCTCCCAGCAGATACAATACCTGCAATGAATCATAATATACTTAAAAGAGTCAGCAGAGAGAAACAGACACACTCCACACAAATAGCAGCAAATGCGAAGACGAGAGAGCTAACAGACAAAGTCACTGGCTTAAGGAGCTATATACGAAGTTCAGTATGGCTAATGCTTAGCATGTTAGGAGAATGGGAAGAGGTGAAACTGAAGAGGGAAACAGGCACCGGATCGTGAAAGACATCAGATGTCCAACAGGAAGTTCAGACTTTATCCTGAAGTTCACAGGGAGCCACAAAGTACTACAATCAGGGGAGTTAAACCTGTTTTGTGTTTCTGAAAAACCTTTCTGGCTACAGAGAGAAAAAAGAAATTGACTGAAGGAATCATGGAGACCAGAGAATAATAACAGCTAACGCTTTTATAATGCTTACTGTAGGATAGCCCCTGTTCTAAAGAGAACTCTGCAGCTAGTAACTCACAGAATCCCCATTACTACTACTACAACTATGAAGGAGATAGGAGTATTATCCTAACCAGAGGGATGGAAAAACCAAAGCACAGAGATGTTAATTAACTTGCCCAAGATCAGCTAGTTAGTGATGGAGTTGGATTCCAACTCAATCATATTCTTAACCACTCCACTATTTTGATCCAGTAAGAAATGGCTATAGTCGGGACGCCTGGGTGGCCCTGTGGGTTAACTGTCTGCCTTCGGCTCAGGTCATGATCCCAGGGTCCTGGGATCGAGCCCCGCATCGGGCTCCCTGCTCCGCAGAAAGCCTGCTTCTCCCTCTCCCACTCCCCCTGCTTGTGTTCCCTCTCTCGCTGCGTCTCTCTCTGTCAAATAAATAAAACCTTAAAAAAATAATAATAAATGAAAATAAAGCAAATAAACCCATATGAGTCATCCAATATGCTAAATAAATGGAAAAATGTTATTTTGAAAGGAGCAGAGCTACTTGGAAGTCAAATGAGAGAGAAGTCTAGAACCCTAGTGAATGGCCCTTCTCTTTGAAACCTTCTCTAAGAAACCCTAGAGCTCCTCTGGGGTACAATCCTGAAATATTACTGAACCAGAGAAGCTAAGGAAACAGAACTTACAGGACATGCTGGGTGATGACTTCAAACTTTCTGGTGAGTCACCGAGGTAAGGAGAGGAAGAGGAGGAGGAGGACATGGTGACTTTGAACCTAACTCTAACTGGAGTTTACAGAGTTGGCCATGCAGGTCAGGAGCCCACGAGAAACAACTAGCCAAGGGGTGGGGGGAGCACAGCACACAAGGGCTAGAAACCCCCAGAGCAGCAACGAAACAGTTCATAAGGTGAGAGTTTATACTGTGAGAAGACAAGAGTGCAAAATAAAATCCATCTTCACAGCTAAGAGCTCCCATTATGTGCTCCCGGCATGAATGAACACCGGTGTTTGGCCTATCTCATTTAATAACTTACTTTTTCTAACACAGAACACAGGTAACTAAATATCATCTTGGGCATGGAAAATGGTGAAGGGCCTATGGCTCTTACCACTCTCATGTCTGTTTAGATACAGGACATCATTTCAAAAGGAAATACAGAATTTTGAAAAAGGCAGGCTGCATTCCCTCATCAGAGGGTCTGGAACCTAGAGTTTCGGAAAGTATCTGGTTCCATGCAGACTAACAGAAATAGGCCCATACCTCCTCCCGATAAACAGCTATATATACATTTCTCAGAAAGCTACATGGCCTCCTACATCAATGAGTTCCATGTAACTACTTAAAGGATGAGAAAGGGAGGCTGAGAGACATCCAGCCAACAATGAAGACTTTTTAGTAGAAAATTCCTATTTGTGAGCCATTAATTATGGCACCGAATCCAAAACCAAACAATTCTATTCCACTTCTACAGTCAATTACAGGAATACTCCACTTCCATAAAGTACTCAGTCTGTCTCTAAAAACTAGTACGTAATAAAACACCAGTCATAGGTGAGTTCCAAACCTTTTACACCAGACAGTGCTCGCTGCAGTTTGAGCACTCCCTCTCCCACCGATGTACTCTGTGGAAGGATTCGTTCTTTTTCTATCACAGTATCACTTTGCTTCACAGCTTCGGGCTGCAATTTCCTACATTCCAGTTTCCAGCTTTCACATTCTTCTGTTATTTGTCTGTTTTCAACATTTAGGCGTTCTTGTTCCTTCCTCAAAAGCTCCCTGTCATTTTCTGTAGAAGATAATTTTTTATTTATGTCTTTTATTTTATCCTCAAGTTCTTCAATTCTTTTTATAGATGCTACTTTTTCATTTTGTAGATCCTGTATAGTTTTTTGCATATCATGGATTTTTGAGTGATGAGTTATTACAATCCCTGAGCCACCTAGAACATAAACAGAAAATCAAGGACAGCCAATGTCAACTACTGAGAGATAAGTAGCTTGCTATATACTACCGAGAGATTTAACAGACTTAAGAACTTGGAAAATCTTAAAAAGTTAAGACAACAATGAGATACCATTACACTCCAATTAAAATGGCCAAAATTCAGAACACTCACAACACCAAATGCTGGTGAGCATGTGGAGCAATAAGAACTCTCATTCATTGCTGGCAAAATGCAAAATAGTAGAGCCACTTTTGGAAGACAGTTCAGCAGTCTCTAACAAAACACACCCTTAACATATGATCAGCAATTGCACTCCCCAGTACTTACTCAAAGGAATTGAAAACTCTTATCCACATGAAAACCTGAACAATGATATTTATAGCAGCTTCATTCATAACTGCCAAAACTTGGAAGCAAAGATGTCCTTCAGTAGGTGAATGGATAAACTGTGGTACATCCAGACAATGGAATACTATTCAGCATTAAAAAGAACTGAGGTATCAAGCCATGAAAAAACATGGAGGAAACTCAAATGCACATTACTAGGTGAAAGAAATCAAGCTGAAAAGGCTACATACTGTATGATTCCAACTATGTGACGTTCTGGAAAGGGCAAAACAATAGAAACAGTAGAAAGATTGTGGGGGAGGGTGGGTGGGAGGTGAGTAGGCAGAGCATAAAGGATTTTTAGAACACTGAAACTACTCTGTATATTATAATGATGAATATGTATCATATGTCTGTCCAACCCAGAGAATGTACAACACCAAGAGTGAACCCTAAGGTAAACTATACACTTTGAGGGATCATGATCTGTCAATGTAGGTTCATCTTTGGTAAAAAATATACCATTCTGATGAGTAATGGTGATAGTGGGGGTGGCTATGCATGTGTCAGGGCAGGGGTATATGGGAAATCTCTGTACTTCCTTCTCAATTGTTATGAAAAGAAAGTCTTTTAAAAAGTTAAGTTACCAAAATAAAGCATTCTTATTTTAGATTTTTTTTAAGTAATCTCTAGCCTCAATGTGGGGCTCAAACTCATGACCCCAAGATTAAGAGTTACACACTCCACCGACTAAGCCAGCCAGGCACCGCCAATAATAAAGCATTTTTAAATAAATAGTTGAGGAAAAATATTATTTGAATCAACTACTAAAACACCTATGTATATAAGTTTGAAAGAAAGTGAAAATATTTCTAATCATTTATTACCAAAGTATCATCACCAAACAATGCAAAAAAAATCTATATATTGTAACTATTTGTCACAAAGGCAAAAGGAGGGGCGCCTGGGTGGCTCAGTTGGTTAAGCGACTGCCTTCAGCTCAGGTCATGATCCTGGAGTCCCAGGATCGAGTCCCGCATCAGGCTCCCTGCTCAGCGGGGAGTCTGCTTCTCCCTCTGACCCTCTTCCCTCTCGTGCTCTCTATCTCTCATTCTCTCAAATAAATAAATAAAATCTCTAAAAAAAAAAAAACAAAGGCAAAAGGACCTTACCATTTCTGCATAATCTTGCAACAGTGATGCCACTGCAAATTTCAGGCAGATGAACAGAACTAGTCATTCACTCATTCTTTAGAACGTAGTCCAAGTTTACATCAGTGTGTTGGTCTTACAGTACTAGGCTTGTCATTTAATTATGTCATCTAATCCATTAAGTTAATAAAACGAACAACCTTGGGGAGCCTGGGGGGGGCTCAGTGGGTTAAGCGGCTGCCTTCGGCTCAGGTCATGATCTCGGGGTCCTGGGATTGAGCCCCGAGTTGGGCTCTCTGCTCAGCGGGGAGCCTGCTTCTCCCTCTGCCCTTCCCCCCCTTGTGTTCTTTCGTTCTCTCAAATAAATAAAATCTTAAAAAAAAAACAAAAACTAACAACCTTGTTGTAACAAGTTTTCCAGTTCTTCAATTCGTTCTTCATAGTCACTTAATTCTTCTCGATGACGACGACTTATTTCTGTCAATTTCTGTTGGTATGCATTTTGTAAAACTGACATTTCATGTTGATGGTCATCGATTTCCTGACTTCGAGTCTGTTTGAGTTCCTTAAAAAATAAAAACAAGGTTAACTACATTTATAATCAATGACATACCTAAGCCATTTCATTGTTGTGCAAAAGTCTGTATTAAAAATAATTCTCTGAACATGCTAAGGCTATAAAGAATTTAAACACAGGCCCCAAATCTGGACAAATCTGAAAAATCCTACTCTTTCTTTTCTTGGGTCTTAAGAACAGTTTTTCTACTTTAATGAGAGAATACCAGCAAGAAAAAAAATGAAACAAAAGATGAATAAAAATATCTTGGCTACCCAAGTTAAGACCACCAGTCTCTCTCCTAAGAAATCTGGATCTTGAGCTTAGTCCTTCAAAAAAGGAAATTGTTAGGACCACAAGCACTGTGATAGCTGCACCCAGAAAAGTCTGTCCACTGTGTCCCACTATCTAGATCCCTGATCCTATTCCCATTCCTGTTCTGCCCAAGACCAGAATGCTCAATTCTTCTTTTAATCCTGGGGACAGACTACCCTGGGTCCTTCCAGTAAATCCTCTTGCTTTACTTAGCCAGAGATGGTTTTTGTTGCTTATAACCAAGAATCCCAATCAATAAATTAACTTCTATTTCCCGAGAAGACAAGTTACTCTTTAATCCTGTGCACTTACTTATGTGCCAGCAGTTGGCAAGCAGCTTCACATTTAAACCTTAAAACGATCCTACAAGGAAGGTATGCTGAAATCTACTATACTGATGATAAAACGGAAGCTTGGAAAGATTAAGTAACTTGCTCAAAGTTCAACAGCTGGTAAATAGCAGAGTCAGGATTCATACACAAGTCTGACTTGGGACCCCACCCATGTGAGTATTGTAATAAAAATAAAACCAAAAACGAAACATTCTACACCTGACGATAATTTTTTTTTTTTTTTTTGAAGAGTTTGAGAGAGAGAGAGAGGGAGAGAGAGCACGCGCCTGTGTGCAAGAGAGGACAAGCAGGGTGGGTGGGGGGGGAGGAGCAGAGAGAGTGGGAGAAGCTGACTCTCCACTGAGCACAGAGCCCAACATGGGGCTCAATCTGGGACCCTGGGATCATGACCTGAGCTGAAGGCAGACACTTAACCAACTGAGCCACCCAGGTGCCCCATATGCCTGACAATAATTTATACACTAAAAACAATTCATTGCCATATGATACAATTATGTAACTAAGACTTTTCTTGAAATAACTGACAAAAAGTAGCAAAATTCCACCAAAATTAAGGGAAAATAATTATTTACAATGAACAGTATTAACATTTTATTTTGTCAATATCCTTTAACCCTAAACCCTGAAACTTTAGCAACCTCGGAAATGTTTTAACAAAGACCATTTTGGTGAGCCTCAGTGGTTAATCATCCGACTCTTGATTTCAGCTCAGGTCATGACCTCAGGATCATGGGATCAAGCCACACGTTGGGCTCTGTGCTCAGTGCAGAGTCTGCTTCAGATTCTCTCTCCCTCTCCCTCCCACTCACTCTCTAATAAACAAAATCCTTCAAAAAAAAAAAAAAAGACAATTTTATAAGATGCAAAGCAAGTAGAAACTAATGAAATATAAACTACTTAAAAAAACAAATGTTCAAAACCAAGTGATTTTGGAAAGAGACATTTTTATATACCTTGCTGTCATAAAGGATGAAAATACAAAATGGTAAAAAGAAACAATCATAATCTATAGTTTTATAACTGAGCCTTCTATTAGACTTAAATTTTTTTTTTTTTTTTAAGATTTTTATTCATTTATTAGAGAGAGAGAGACAGAGAGAGCACACAAGCAGAGGAAGAAGCAGACTCTCTGAGCCCCATGCAGGGCTGGATCCCAGGCCCGGGATCATGACCCGAGCAGAAGGCAGACGCTGAAATGAAGGAGCCACCCAGGCGCCCCAGACTTGTACTTTTACTTTTAATAAGCAAATTTTAGGTGTATGATGCCATTGTTCCAGGTGCCTGGGTGGCTCAGTCAGTTAAGTGTCTGCCTTCGGCTCAGGTCATGATCCCAGGGTCCTGGGATCGAGCCCCACGTTGGTCTCCCTGCTCAACGGGGTGTCTGCTTCTCCCTCTCCCTGCTCCTTCTCTCTCTTGCTCTCTCTCAAATAAATAAACAATAAAATCTTAAGAAAAAATAGTCATTAAGCGTCTGCCTTCGGCTGAGGTCATGATCCCAGGGTCCTGGGATCGAGCCCCGCATTGGGCTCCCTGCTCCGTGGGAAGCCTGCTTCCCCCTCTCCCACTCCCCCTGCTTGTGTTCCCTCTCTCACTGTGTCTCTCTGTCAGATAAATAAATAAAATCTTAAAAAAAAAAAAAGAAAGAAAAAATAGTCATTGTTCCAACAACCTCCTTACCTTAATGATACTTTGCAGTTTGCAGATTTCGCTTTGATCAGAGTTATTTGATCCTTGTGCTTTAGAAGTCTAGATCAGAAAAACAATTAGAAAATAATTGTGTTGGCTTTTTGTAAGAGAGAAAGTCACAAACTAATTTTATTAAAAAGTATTTTTCAGGAGCACCTAGGTGGCTCAGTCGGTTGAGCATCTGCCTTCAGCTCAGGTCATGATCCTGGGGTACTGGGATTGAGCCCTGCATCAGGTTCCCTGCTCAGCGGGGAGTCTGCTTCTCCCTCTCCCTCCCCCTGCTCATTCTCTCTCTCTCAAATAAATAAAATCTTTTAAATATATATATATATATATATTTTTAAGGGGCATTTCCCAGACAAATTCTGATTAAAGAATGCCAAGCACCTTTTAAAGAACTAAGTCCAATTGTGAGTAAATCACAACAAATAAAAGATAATTTTCAAAGGACGTCCAGGCTGTCAGTTAAGCATCCGACTCTTGATTTCGGCTCATCCTAGGCAGTGTTTCCTAAAATGTATATCAGAATCACCTGAGGAATTTACTTGTTTGAATGCAATTTCCAAGGCTCTAAAATAGGCTATGAAATCCTAATTTCTAATGGTAGGACAGAGAATCTACGATTTTACAGTACTTTAAGAACTACTATATTTTTAGAGATAAGATGGACAAACTCATCGTTCTAAGATTTATTTTGGATATTGGGAATGTCTAGCCACTTGGGAAGCAAAAAGGTAATTTTAATTGGTAGGGTTTCTCCTTTATATAACTAGATCGCACTCACAAAAAGAAAATAATTTCTTTACTTATATACTTGTTCTCCACACTGATGAAATGAAATCCAAATGTACAATGTTCCAGTTTCCTTTGGGTCTCATGTTGACTGACGTCAATAGTATACAGAATCTGATATATACGGTGAAAAGTGTCCCTTGAAGGAAAGTTTATGCCCCAAATAGCAAGGATTTAATTTCTAATGTACAAAAAACAACACAAAAGTTTAACGTATTTTATACCAATGATCAGATTTTCATTTTACACATAACTGATAAGAGGAACCTCAGAGAACATCTACGCAAGTAGTTTCAAATCTGGGGTCTTGGAGCCATGGAGTTGCCATCAAAGAAGCCTCAGGGACTCCAGAGGAATAGATGCTAGTTCAACCACAGCAACTCCATTTTTATCTCTTTTAAGTCCTGGACTTGTAACTTTTTATTTTAAAACATGGTTCTGTTGCTCTCAATATATATATGTATTTTTTAAGATTTTATTTCTTTATTTGGCAGAGAAAGAGTATAAGCAGGGGGAGTGACAGGCAGAGGGAGAGGAAGAAGCAGACTCCCCACTGAGCAAGGAGCCCGATGCAGGACTCGATCTCAGGACCCTGGGATCATGGCCTGAGCCACCCAGGCGCGCCAGCTCTCAGTTTTTTTGAAAATTTCTTCCAAATATTTTATAGATGAGGAAACGGAGGCTAAGAAAGAAAAATGACCTGACAAAAATCACTCAGAAAAATCACTGGCAGAATTAGAACACAGGTTTTCAATTTCCTAGTCCAGGGTTCTTTCTGATACCAAAAGTTCTACATATAGAACCACTATTTTTCCTCACTAATAGTTTTCAAAGACTCATGATAATTTTACCTACCTGAGCAATATGCCTCCAATGACCAACTTCAGATTCAAGTCTTGCAACTTCATTTGACAACCTGTTTATTTCTTGTTGTGACGAAATTATGTCACCAAAGTCCATGTCATCGTCGTGGAAAGCTGAAGCAGGGTGACTGACCCGACAGCCGAAGGGAGAGGATGCAGGGGCTGCTGGTACGCCACCAGCTCCTGAATGTGTGGACTGAGCAGCTGACTGCAGCTTCAGCAGCTGATCCTGCAGTGCGATCTGTCTTGCTTTAAGATGGCTGATTTCTACCTACACATTTATAATCGGTATTTTAGAGAAGGTACTTTAAAATAACCATACTGATGTCTTTATAGACTCATAATGTTAAAAGTTATAATAATTTGTTTAAGATTATCCAATGATGGTAACTCTTTCAGCTGAATCCAAGTCTTCTATAACACCCAAACCAGTACATTTTTATTTAAAAACCAAACATGACTACCAGTTAAAGCAGAGACAATGTTTCAAATAGTACAAAGATCAGAATATCTCACTCATATGTCAACGAGAGCAACGAAATTCTCAGTTAAACATGGGCTTAACTATCTTCATGTATCAGGTAGTACAGGAAATTTCCAAGGGTTCTATTTGTATCATCAGAGCATAAGTGATGGGAAAATGAAAGCTGCAGTAGTCTGTGTATTAGAAAGTTTCTTTGGAGCATCTGTTGGAATAGTCTTATGTTACTGATTATGGCGGAATTTAGGCTTAAAATGCACCAGAATCAGGAGTAACTTTGTACTAGTCTGTACAATAGCTGGAAGAATGCTTTATTAATCCATTCTTAGGTAACAGTGAGCCTGTGGTTATTATTAGCCCTTGAGTCTTAGAAAGAAATCATATAATGAAAGAGGCCTTGGCTTTAGCCTTGGAAAAAGGAGCCAGTGAAAATTTGACTTTACTCAGGGAAAGAATAGTATAAAAATTCTGAGACCCTTAGTGGAGTTTTGACTAAGGGCTGGCAACACTAACTCATTGTCCAAAAGAAATTACGAACATATGGACTTACAATGCCATATCCATTCTCAGTGAGAGATTACTCAAAATATAAAAGTGAGTAAGCTAGGGAGAATTGAGATAAGCTTTCTGTAAAATACCTACCCCAAAAGACATGCTGCCACAATGGAGAATATGATACTGGGAATTAACCGACCAGTAACAATATTTCTACACATGTAAAGCCAAGCAATTAGACAAACAAAAACTAAACACAATTATGTCAAGTGTCATAACAAACAGGTTTCTCGTACCAAACCCCTTCTCTAAAAAAAAAAAAAATTTGAGAGAGAGCACACATTTCATTCATTTGCCCATAACTGACATGAGTTAAATTGCATCTCTGGGGAATATGAACATCATAATGAGGGCAGAAAACAGCAGAACTTAAGTATATTCATATATTATCTTTCATTCTAGTACAAAATACTGAAATCCAGAATTATTTTCAAGTGTAGCTTCAATACAAAGAAAGTTCTCATTATAAAACTAGTATTTATATCAAGTTACCGAGTTAAAAAAATGCAAGCTAATAACAAAGAGGCATTTCTAAACTAAAATGCTTAATTTGCCCTCTAATATCAATAGTTAAGTAGAAAATAAAATGCCAGATTTTCTACAGCAGTGTTTTCAATTAGGATGTAAGCATGAGAATCACCTATGGAGTTTCTGAAAAATACCAATACCAGGGCCCCTTCCCAGTACACCAAAATCAGAATCTCCTGGAGGACATAAATGTGTGTATTTTTTTAAAGTATCATGGATGATTCAGCTGTAAATCCCTGGGTGGGAACTACTGCACTACTGTAATATTTGTAAGTCAGTGCTGATCAAAGTGGTCTGTGGACTGAAGGTATAAATGTTTACTACCAGTGGGCTTTTACCTTTAACTTGAACTTGTAATTTTCTTTTCTTATATTCATTTTATTTTTGTAGTAATTTATTTTTATTGTATTTTATGAAATCAATTCCCAACAGATTGGAAATTTAAGCTCTAGTTTATATTTATCTTTAATGTGGCTTGCTTTTATTTTTCATCTTAGTATGTTACTGAAAGAACTAAAAATCAGTACATGTAAATTTTAAAAACTCATATATGGGGATGCCTGGGTGGCTCAGTCGGTTGAGCATCCAACTCCTGGTTTCGGTTCAGGTCACGATTTCAGGGTCGTGAGTTCAAGCATGGTGTCAAGCTCCATGCTCAGTGTGGAGTCTGCTTGAGATTCTGTCTCTTCCTCTCCGGCTACCCTTCCCTCCCCCACTCTCACACATGCTCTCTCTCTCTAAAATAAATAAATCTTTACACTTCATATTAGCCAAAATGCCAAGAAGTGATAAAAATAAATAAATCTTTTAAACAAAAAAAAACCAACTCATATATGAATTTATGGTAGAAATGAATATTTAATCAACAAACTAAAGAAAACTCAAATGATCTGGATAATAAAACAAGAAATAGCTCAATTTCTAGGAGTATTTACTGAATTCCATTTATGTACTACACATTGAAGATAATTTAACAACAAAATGAAACATGGAGACATAGTCTATATTTTAAGGATTCATTATAGTGCCGTTTAAATTATATAATATCTACTACCAGCACTGCAAAGAAAAGATAAGCCAATTCCAAAATAAACATTTCTAACAAACTAAAGGGAAAAAATATTTATATAACAACGTAAGTCAACTTAATATACTTAATATTGTTTTTCCATGGAAAGTCAAATAAATGCCAATTCAATATATATGAACACTGGTAGTCAAAATCATTTTTAAAAACGAAATGTCATTAGCAATGATCACACTGAGTCACAATTTTAAGTAAATAGAGGAAAGATTAGGTGTCATAAAATCAGAAATTATAAGCAAGCAACAGATGCCTGAAGATACTTTATTGGAAGAGTTTTCCTCTTTTGGAAGTAGGAAGTAAAGGTTAGCTTATAAAATATAAATTTAACAGAAAAGCTTAGAGTTCTTGTTAAAACAGCAGTATCAAACTGAGTTGGGAATTACTAACATCATCACCCTTTCAGTATTTTTATGGATCTGTATATAGCTTGATTTATAACTCTTAAAAACCTTCCTAAAAACATTACTAGGAAATAAATATGAAGTAACTGTAATAACTTTTACCTCCTTCTGTTGTAGTTGATTTCGATAACTTGTAGATTGCTGCTTTATTTGAAGCTCTGACGCTTCATGCTTCTCTTCTAAATCAGTACAAAGTTTTTTGAGTCTCTCATTCTAGAAACAAAGAAAAAAAGTATTTTCAACAAAAAGACTAAAAGTAAAACATGTTAGTAAGTTATCTGCATGGCATCATGAAAAACAGATCACTTTATCCAGAAAAAGATATAAAATACAGAAGTTCTCAGACAGAATTCTGGCCTTTGAAATATAGTTTTAATTAAAGCTACAACAGCGGGGTGCCTGGGTGACTCAGTCGTTAAGCGTCTGCCTTCAGCTCAGGTCATGATCCCGGGGTCCTGGGATGGAGCCCCGCATCGGGCTCCCTGCTCCGCGGGAAGCCTGCTTCTCCCTCTCCCACTCCCCTCCTTGTGTTCCCTCTCTT